GCGCCCGGCCCTATGCTGGGTTTTTTATTTGGTCTTTGGAAACCTTCAGAGAGACAGAACTTATTCCCATCTTTCATTACTTTTAGGAAGGAAACCACAGAGACTGCGCAACTTGAGAGATGCCTCTAGGTACCGTCAATAAGCAGATGGCCCTGAAGGCCCTTGTTAATGCGGGTGGCAGAGCTGGCGTCTCCCACAGCCATTTCACATGCGCCCCACTCTCCACACATAGAGGCAGCCCAGCTTTGGCTGTCTCAGACACCTCTTCACATGGATCTGACGGCAAGTGTGCAAAACATAAAGACACCATCCCGTGAGCCTGGCAGGCCCTCACATCGGCCCAAGCTGACCGGAGCTCACACTAAAGGTCACATCCTGCTGTAAGAGCCAGGCTCAGGAAGACTGTGGTGAAAGCGCATTGTGGTTTAGTTAACAGTGAACGGAGTGGTTTGCATTTCCTGTCATCCATATTTCATGTGCTACAGTTGAAAGCTGCAGAGCAGGACACCTGGAACCTCCCAGTCTTCATGCTGACACTTGATGCGTGACCTTGAGCAAGTCACTGGTCTCTCTAAGCCGCAGTTCCTTGTCTGTAAAATGGAACGAATACCTGTTTAATCTATCAAGTGCAATAAATCACACAAATTCTCCTCACGCTCAGGATCTTTTAAAGAGAGAAAAAATAACACAAAATTGTTTTTAAATAGTTGAAAACGTGACACAGTGCAAACTATCATTATCATTATGCTTTTAATTGAAATCTGAGTCATTTTTTTATTTCTTCTAAGCCAAAAAAAAATCTGAACACTTTCCTGAAAAATAAATTGGAAAATGTCCGTGGCTGGCTGATAGGAAACCACTTCCAATTCCAGACATACCGAAAATGGCATCTCGGAAAATCCAGCTCTGGTTTGGATGCGAAGGGCATTTAGAATTTTATAAACTTGAAAACAGCCAAGGCGTGTTTCATCAAGTTGGAGACAATAGTTTGCATTTAGTCCATATGTGTCAATCTTCAAGTTGCAACTTGCTAGTCATACTGGTAGTGTCATTAATACCGTTGAGCGATGATAGCCATTTGAAAGCTGGGTTAGAATGGACAGGCTTGTGAAATTTTATAGAAGCCCTAAATGACAATCTAATGCATCCAAAGCCTCTATATCCCCGATGTAAACCAGCACTTCACAGCTATGGAAGACTCATAAAATTCCGAGCCTGGCAATTTATACTTAATCTCTCTAAAAAGCACGTGTTCAGGGCAGGCCCCCACTCTGTGAGATGGCATTTGAGCACCAACACCTCTGCTATATAAAACACCTTATCAGTAGTAAATATATTAATTTGACCCCAAGGGAGAGAAGGTGAGAGCAAATCAGCCGCAGCAAGCCATTTACATTCTTTATTTCTGCAGATGAATTCTCCATCTATTTTCATCTTGTAATCAGGCACTTGCCAAATACACAAGAATTTCATTTTCTATCTCCACAGCATATGTGTCTCCTTACTTTGATATGTCCTGTTTTTAGGAAGTAGAGATGTTTTAAAATTGTATTTCAAACAGGAAAAAAATCAGTCTCCATATAATTAGTGAATGTAACCAGATTATTTGCAATCAACATATACTTAATGCCTTATTACCCTAATGGAAGTTATTGTAAGTGATGATAAAATTGGCAGAAATAAGTTATGCTAAGTGATGATAAAATTGGTATTATTAAGTGATGAAAACCTTTTACCTTCCGCTGTTTTTTTTTTTATTTCCCCATCTCTAATCTACCCAAATTCATCTTTAATGAGAGAACCTGGAGGACGCGTTTATGGTACTTAGGCCAACAAGGAAAATACGGCAGTTTTTACGCACAGCCAGAACACGTAAGCCAATCTCCAACCTCAGAGGGCGGAGGCGAAATGGACAGTTGGAAAAGCTCTCAATCTATTGTTTGTAAGCTTTATATGTTCTTGCCTATTGGTGCATTCCTTTGTGTTCCTAATCTGTGGTTTCCCTCTTGACCTGTGACTCCCAGTCTTTGTGTCGGAGAAGAAATCAGAAACAAAATGATTATTCTGCAGGCAGAAGAAAAACAAATAGAAAGGTATATGCTGGCCAGGTGTGGTGGCTCGCACCTGTAATCCCAGCACTTTGGGAAGCCGAGGTGAGCAGATCACTTGAGATCAGGAG